CAAAACTCGATGACGTCACTCTGAGGAAATGGGAACAGATTAAAGCTTCATATAAAACAGCTTCTCTAGAAAATTTAAATAATTTTTTAAGGGAAAGAGCAGATCTTCTCGAATCTTTAGAACAAAATAAAGCAAATAAGCCGCAATCGAATAAGCGCGAAAGAATAGTTAAATCATTTGTTTCTGGTAGTAGTCACAGCCAACCGAGGTGTACATTTTGCGAGAAGGAACATTACATTCAAAATTGTGCTGAATTTTTAAAATTAAGGGTCAACGAGAGATATGAACAGACAAAGAAAAAACGCCTATGTTTGAATTGTTTAAGAGTGGGTCACTTGATTAGGAAATGCTTTTCTGGTCCGTATAAAACTTGCAAAATGAAACATCATACGTTGCTGCATGCAGGCGACAATGATAATGGGCGGAAAGGATCGGTTAAAAACATTAATGATTCCAACCCAGAGAGCGTAAATCTATCTTCCCGTAGTATCATAAATACTAACCAAGTACTTCTTGCAACGGTCTCGGTAAATATTTTAGATAGTAATAATAAACCTCACACTGCTCGCGCCTTGATGTAGGTTCACAAAGCAGTTTCTTGACGGAAAAATTTTGTGCAAAACTTAAATTAGCAAAGGCGCCCATTGATATAAGGGTCACTGGACTTAACGAAACACTATCTGAATGTAAACACAAATGTATTGTACGGGTACAGTCGAAACTAAATAGTTTTTCAACAGAAATTTTTTGTTTAATCGTACCTCGAATTACAGGAAATTTGCCCAACTTTAAAGTTAACAGAAATACCTTTAAAATTCCGCGCGATATAAAATTGGCCGATCCAAGCTTTGATATACCAGGGGATATAGATATGTTAATCGGAGCGGATTGTTTTTGGAAGGTAATATGCGTGGGTCAAATTAAACTAGATCACAACGGTCCTTATTTACAAAAAACAAATTTTGGATGGATCATATCAGGGCGGGTTTCAGAAAATTGTAATCAAATTGTCCAATGTAATTTAGTGAACGCGGGCATAGATAGTAGATTATCGAGGGTTTGGGAGATTGAAGAGTTTCCTGCGGTCAAGCCATGGTCTCTTGAAGAAAGTATCTGTGAAAATCATTTCGTGGAAACTGTTACCCGCGATGCAAACGGTCGGTTTGTAATAACTATTCCTTTAGCAGATAGTCCGGAAAAATTAGGTGAATCATATGAGGCCGCGGAAAGGCGTTTGATTACATTAGAGCGAAAATTTATACGTAATCAAACTTTTAAAACCCAATACTTCAAATTCATGAGCGAGTACAGATCTTTAGGACATATGATTAAGATAAATGATCATGATAGTTCCAAAATTAGTTACTATATGCCACATCACGGCGTCATTAATGAAAATAGCGTTACCACAAGGCTCAGAACGGTGTTTGATGCATCATGTCCTACGACTACTGGGTACTCATTTAACGATTTACAAATGAATGGTCCCAATATCCAATCAGACATTTTCTCGATTCTCTTGCGATATCGAAATCATAATTTTGTGATTGCCGCGGATGTTGAAAAAATGTATAGGATGTGCCGCGTAAACCCGGAACAAACGTGTTTTCAACGCATTTTATGGAGAGATGATCTAAACAACTCTATAGATACTTACGAGCTGCAAACCATCACTTATGGTACGAAATCTGCATCATATCTAGCAACTAGATGTCTTTATCAAATTGGTATAGAATGTGAAACGGAATGCGCCGACGCTTCGCAAGTTATCAAAAAAGATTTCTATGTTGATGATATGCTGACTGGTGCTGATAGCGTGGAGAAAGCAATAAAGTTAGCAAACAACATTTCGAAAATTCTTAGCAAATCGGGTTTTCATTTGCGTAAGTGGCTATCGAACAGTTCAAAAATCCTGGATAAAATTGAAACGGCCGATAAAACAGATATTTTAGATTTGGGTGCCAACGAAAATACGAAAACATTAGGCTTAATTTGGAACGGTAGGGAAGATACGCCTTCGTACAGGATAAGGAATATTTCCAACAAATCTGTGACAAAACGGACGGTTCTCTCCGAAATATCGCAAATTTTTGACCCCCTCGGGTTATTAAGCGCGTGTATTATATTAGCAAAAATTATTTTACGCGATATCTGGTTAGAAAGGATAGACTGGGATAGTTCCTTACCACAATCTTTACACACCCGATGGTTACGTTTTCGTGATGACTTACCTTCACTGAATGAGTTTAACATAGAACAACAGGTAACGTGTAAAAATGCAATTTGTACTGAGCTTCATGGATTTTCGGATGCATCGGCATATGCCTATGGTGCGTGCGTGTATGTGAAGACACGTAATAAAAGGCATGAAGTCTTAGTCAAGCTCATTTGTGCAAAATCAAAGGTGGCCCCATTAAAGGTTCAAACTATTCCAAGGCTGGAATTAATGGCTGCGCTATTGATAGCGAGATTGATGAGTAAGGTTACGACGTCACTTAATATACAAGTCGATAAATCTATTTTTTGGTCTGATTCTACGGTTGTTTTAGAGTGGTTAAACAAACCGTCTAATCTATTACAAGTTTTTGTGGCAAATCGCGTTTCCGAAATTCAAGAATTATCGAATGTAGGAAATTGGAGACATGTACCGACTCAAGAGAACCCGGCAGATTATGTGTCGCGAGGGGCTAAACCAACGGATTTACTGTCGCTTGAACTTTATTGGTCAGGGCCAGATTGGCTCAAACAGTCGGAAGATTTTTGGCCTAAGATGTGCAACACAGAAGAAATTTTACCAGAATTAAGAAAGGTAGTTGTACAAACGCAAATATGCTCAATTCAAGATTCCATTGACTTAAAATATTGTTCAAGTTTATCCAAACTTGAACGTATAATTGCCTATTGTTTTAGATTTAAGGAAAATGCTCTTAAATCAAAGGAGTTTCGAAATGGAGGTGTCTTAACATATAAGGAGATTTGTAATGCTTTAAATTATCTTATCAAGCTTTCGCAAAGCCAATCTTTTAGTAAAGAAATTATAGCACTTGAGAGCAATTTAAAAATTGACAAATGTAGTAAACTATATAAGTTACATCCCTTCCTCGATGTTGACGGCATTTTAGGAGTAGGTGGTAGGCTTACTAACTCAAATTTTGGGTTTGATAAAAAATATCCAATCGTTTTATCATCAAAGCACGAATTTACCAAGTTGCTTTTTATACGTCAACATCAACAATTATTACATGCGGGTCCTCAACTTTTATTGTCTAGTATTCGCGAAAAATATTGGCCCATAGCTGGACGAAACATAGCACGTAAGGTATATTATGAATGTATAAAATGTTTTAGAGCTAACCCACGTTCAATCAGTCCGTTAATGGGAAATCTACCTAGTACACGTGTAAATCCAGCCCCTCCATTTTTTATAACCGGGGTAGATTACGCAGGACCATTTTCGATTCGAGACAGACAAGGGCGTGGTTTCAAGGTGACAAAGGGTTATATCTGTGTCTTTGTTTGTTTTACCACGCGTGCCATCCATCTAGAATTAGTAGCAGATTTAACTACTGAAGCCTTTTTGGCAGCCTTAAGACGCTTTGCATCACGTCGTGGAAAGCCTACTCAAATATACTCGGATAACGGGAATAATTTTATAGGAGCGAATCAAGAACTTATCCAAAGAAGAATGATCTAGTGCTGATCAAAGAGGACAATCTTCCTCCATGCAAATGGTTGTTGGGGAGGATCGAAGATTTGCATCCAGGGAAGGATGGAATTTGCAGAGTAGCTACAATTAGGACCCGGAGAGGCAACTTAAAGCGCTCCTTTGCGAAGATTTGTCCATTACCTACAAATTCAGCAGTAGTAGTGTAATGTGTTTGAAAGGGTGTCCTTTCAAGGCCGGGGGTTTATGTTTAGTTTTGTGCGGTATGCAACCCAACATACTCGATTTTTCCCGGCGCCGGCCGCGAAGGAGAGGGAGAAGCATGTCGGCGGTGAACGAATAGAGACCCATGTTTTTTCCTTCTTTTGTCTAGTCTGTTAGTATTGTTATCTATTCGGCAGTAAGAGGAATAAAGTTTTATGTAGTGATAACGTTAGTGTTTTGAACCAACGAAAATACAGTCCACCAATTTTTAAACGCAACAGTGGGTGTAAAGTGATGAAGAACTTGAAGAACTCGAAATAGACCGCAGCAAAACATTTTTTGCAATGCTTGTTATCAATAAATTAACATATTTGTCAGAAATATATGACCGCAGCTCAATAGGCATGAGATAAAATAAATCTACATTCAAATTCATTTGTTGTTATTTTCTCAGTCGTCTTATTGCAACTGTAATTTATGACAACAGGAATAAAACAATCCACATCCCGATTCATCCGTATTTATAAATATCTAGAAGTACAAACGCAAGTTCTTTGCGCATCCTGAAATAATTCAGAAACACTAAACATTAAAGTTAAATTAAAGAGTCGGATTCGTTGTTGACTCATATTCGTCTTACTTTTATTTTTTTCCAACAAGTTTACAACTTGACTTGCTGAAACATATTTCCAGCAACCAGGATGCAGCGCAAGTTAAATACATAAACGATAAGAAATAACACACCATAACATCACTATTTGTGAAAGATTTTATGTAACCTAGAAATGAAAAATATTCGATATAGTGATGCCGACTGGAATCCTGCATCCGACTGGAATCCTACAGACTTTTCGCCAAGATCTCACTTGGCATCTTCTATGCTCGCGCTCCGAAAACACTTCGAACACTGGGAGGTTATCAACGATGCGTGCGGTATTTATAACCTGCGCCGCAAATAGTAACGATGCGACAATTACCGTTACCATCTCCGGCGCAGGTTATAAATACTGCACGCATCGCCGATAACCTCCCAGTGTTCGAAGTGTTTTCGAAGCGGGAGCATTGAAGATGCCAAGTAAGAACTTGGCGAAACGTCTGCAGGACAATAAAATAGAAACATTAAAATACTTACTCATTAAAGGTGCTGTTATCAACCCAACCGTTCCATTAACAACCATAAACAGTGAAAAAGCCGTTGCAAATATGTCAGAGTATTCTTCAGAAAAGACTAACGGCATTAGTGTTTGTACAGTGCAACGCAGAGAACCCAACAAAACAAGGGCGACTACTTTTAATGCATACGAGTCGTTGATTACAAATACTAGAAAACAAAAAAATTTAACTTATAGCCACACAACGTAATTTATTTACTTACGTACCGAATACAAATATGGCACTCAATAACGACCCAATAACCAATCCTTTTCTGCTTTCAAATGCAACTAATCCCGATACAACTGAAAGAATTAGTCTAGCTGCCAAATCGGACCCATAATATACAGACAGAACCAGTGCTATGTCGGATGATCTGTATCCTATATTACCCAAAATTAGAGGAATTATCGGAAAAAATGATAAGTCTGCTGTATAGGAAAATGCCACTCCGACACTGATATTAAGGTAACGCAGGTCCTTGAAAAGCGATAAATCCATTGAATGTAGTAGGGATTGCCTGGAAGAAGATCAATGAAATTTTCCCAAGAAACTTTCACAGGCTACTGTAATACTATTTACAAATCTTCGGGATTCCTTCTGAGTCGGTTGTTTATAAACCAAACTTCGCCAACCATCCTGTTGGCTTAACTGAAACTGCCTCGCATTCTGCTCTGTACCTGCTTACATATTGTTTGAACTAGCGCAGGAGGAATCCAGAAGATTAATAAATAGTTAATGAAATGTTCAACGTTTATATGTATAGATAATTTTTAATTTGCTTTTGCCTAATAGAATTCATACTAGTTAATTCGCGGTCGCTGGTTAACATCGCCTTTTATCTCAATCTAAATATACTCTTAACCAAGAGGCACAATAGGCTATACCATGTATTGTTATTCCCAAAAAACGCACAATATTATGAGTTATATTTTTATTTGTCAGCTAATAATGATCGAAGATCACACGCCGCAAAAAAAATTGTCGCATTCAGTTGGGTGAAAAAAAAGAAAATATAAGAAAGAAGAAATAACGCAGATAGAAGAAACAAAGAAGAAAGGCCGTGGAACGCAAAAACCACTACTAGAATTCTTGAAAATTTTCCTGTACTCGCAGGCTTAGATTGTAGTTTTGTTTACAGAGATAGGTTTAGGATCTCCTTTTTCCTTCTGTATATAGGTAGATACTAATTTAAAGCATTGGGTGTCATGTCTTTTGGAATTTGTATGGACAAGTGTAGCAATCAGATGCAATAGCTATTGCACTCTTTCCTTCTTTTGTAATTTTGCTTTTGTCGAAATTACGTGAATAAAGTATATTATTAACATCATAGATATGCCGAAATGAGTAAAAAATTAATTAGAAAGACAGTCATGCCTGAAATACCAAAGTGTAGATCGTGTTCCATTTTTGATGTCTTTACGGTGTATCTTCCTTATTAATAAAGCTAGTAGGTCATGTAAAAAGAATGTCCGTTTTCCTACCAAACATTGATGACATTTCTTAATTATTATTGTCATTTCTGCTTCTCCTTCTTTTTGTTAACCCAAAATATGAGAATTATGAAAAATTGGATATAATAGTATTACTGTTATTGTAAGCAGTATTAGCAATGCGCATATAATACTGCACACACACAAGTTTATTTTGACTTCTATAGTAAATTAAGTAACTTTTTTTTTTAATCTGAATTTTGGGCGTTGCCTACTTATAAAAAACCAAACAAATTAAAATAAGAGAGATAAGGTGATCCATTAAAAAAACTCAAGTTTGCTTTATTTAACTAAATTTTTTCCCTACCCAGACCAGTTTTCACCATTTCGATAAGTATAGGCATAACTGAGCTATAAATCCAAAATTTGCTGACTCACTGGATAATGCAAAATTTACATACATTGCGGGCAAAATAACACAGATTGATCACAATTCATTCATGAAGTCAAGTCAACATTCAAACCCATTACAGAATATTGCAATGTATCACAAAACTACAGCTTGGGCATGGGTGGATTACCTATTAATTACGTGTATTTCTATCTATCTATCTATCGAGCGTAAAACTAACCAAATTGACTTCTTTCCAATATTGCTGAAGTTGGTGGGAACTACAGCACTTCTATCACCAAGGCTGATCACCGACATTGTTTGCTTCGTAATGCAAAAACCTCCATCTCGAATTATATTATTGTTTAGCGCTTCCTGGCTTTGGTAACTACATTCAGTGGCATTGAAGTCCGTTAGAAGATTTATCTGAGAATACAAGACGTCATTTCCCAGGGATATGGCACGTTGCCTTGCGTTTGCACTAAATGTTTGATCTAAAAAAACAGACCATTTGCGATCACTTGAATATATGCTATTGAAAAATTTAACAAACATGTTTTAGTAAAATTAAAACGACTGAGAAAGACCTAACAGAAATTCTTTGCGATTGCTCTGCGTGACACTCTCAAAAGAATAAGTAGCTTTCTTAGGATTGAAATTTTGCTATTAGATTGAAACTTGTAATCTCGAACAGCATTATTTTTATAAGTATTTGAGCCGACTACTTTTATTTCTATATAATTTTATATATAAACTAACCAAAACTAAAACACACTAGAATTTTCATAATTTGTTCCCATTTAGGAAAAGAAAACGATTCGTATCTATTATCCAAAGTATGCACAAATTACTAGTGATTTGATTGAGAATTTCATTTACTGATACTAAATAAAAGGTGGCTAAAAGAAATGCATTTCTAAATGTGTTTTTCAAGCCACTGGTATATACACGACTTAACTAAAACTGATTACACAGCATACAACTTATGAAGCGAGAATGAAAAATATATTGGTAACTTTATAGGCACTGGCGCCGCTATTTGGCCGCTGGCAGTTCGTGGCACGTTTAAGTTTATATGTTGCATTTTGACGGCAGTATGTTATAAAAGTATTCCCAGATCTTGTTAAATATGCTGGAAAAATGAGCGCCGCTAGAGATAGAACCGGTGTATTTTGTCAATTACTGCCGCGACCCACTTTGGGCATTTCCGGTAGGCACTTGAGTCACGGAATAGGATGTTTTCGGTAGATTTTTGCAACTGATGGTATTTTCACGTTTATCAGTTCATAGCGTCATGTGTTATTAGTGAATGTAATCGTGCTGTTTTGCAAAAATATATAAATTATAATAAATAAATAATATAATAAGAATATAATGAATATTGATCAACTTCTTCATTTTATTTATTTATTTATTAACCACTCAGTCAAATCATACTTAAATTAATGTGTCGTTTATAGAACTTGTTGCCTAATACCCTCTTCGGCACTAGTAAAGTCAATACTCAACTCAAATATTAATCTATAAAGACAACAGATAGAAAGAAATATTTTATTAGATAAAAACGAAAGTGCTGATCAATTCAACAAGCCAACAAGCAAGTTTGAGTCAAATCTAGGCAATGACTTTGTTGAAGATAATAATAATATGGGCAGACCGAGAATGTTAAGTATTTAAGCAATAAGTTTGATCAAAAACACTTCTCAAGTTTGCGTTGGCACCAGAAAAGCTAGTGTTTCCTAAACAACTGACAGAAGAAGATTATCCGCGTGTTGCTATACTAATACACGTTTTTACTAGCCTAAAGCTGACGTCTTAAATTGACACCTTCCCCACTTTTCAGCTGTGCATAATCCTGGATTTTAGAGGAGTAGAACAAAAATATATTTTACCATTAATTAGTAAATTGTTTTTTTTTGTGTTTGACAGGTAAATGATATATCTGATTCCTTCCAAGAAAATTATGTTTCCTTATATGCAGACGAAACTGTTGTGGCCGTGTCATCTAGAAGTCTGGAAGATCTCACGTTCTTTGCAACTAGGGCAGTAAGTGGTATGATCCGATATTGCGAGCGTAACGGTATTTGTTTCAACGGAACAAAGACTGAGATGATGTTGTTTTCGCTTAGAGATTTGAACAAGAGCTTATTGGTTAGAATGCAGGATAAATCGATTAATTAGACTAACGTTGTCAAGTATTTAGGTTTGTTCATAGATAGTAATTTGTCCTGGACAAGCCAAATAGACTACGTATTAAACAAAATGGCTATGCATACTTTTGTTATTTGGCGACTGCGGTCGAGTGTGGATCTTCAGCTTTTACTATTGTATTATTTCGGATATGTTCAATCTTGTTTATCTATAAAAATATAAATATCAATAAAACTATATAATAAGTTGCCTTTGTCCGTCAGGCAGATATTGCCTGTCCCTATATTTAAGCAAAAATTAAAACTCATTTTGAAGAAGAGCTCTTTTTATACTATCGAAGAATAGTTTGATTGTAGTAATGCCGATCTCTCAGCGTGATATACTTTATGTGATCGTACGTATCTGTTTTTAAAGTTTGTATTTTAGTGTTCTAATGTATTTTTTTTTACTTGTTGACATTATCCGATACTTTTGTTAAAAGTCAATGGAAATAAACGTTGTTATTATTATTATTATTATTATAACGGTGTAACATCTCTGACATATCTGTTGATATAATAAATATCAGGAAAGATGACGACTACGTCATAATGATGGACAGCAAATACCATCAGAATACGCTTGGTGCCATTGCTAACGAAATGGTTATCTTAAGTCATTAAAAATAAATCACAGCCATAAACTGAAAGCAGTGTGTGTCAGATTTAGTCATTAAAATATTACATAATGTGTAGTCTGCGCATACCGAAATTTAAGGATAAAAGATGAATTACCGTTATTGTCAAAGGTATCTGTCGAAATCTCTTTTATGTGCAATTTAACGGGTTGAAACGACATGGCGGCTGGAAGACTTAAAACACTTAAGCCTGCTATGACAACCAATGTGCCCTTGAAGCCCAAGTGATCGATAGAAATTGTTGCCAGTGGCGCTGCGCCTATGTATGCCGCAATGAGTAACGACTGCGACAAGCTCATCATCATGGATAACTTGCTGTCAAAATAACAATTCATGGTAGAAAACGAAGATGGCATCAATAAACCGAAGCCTATACCTAAAAATTCAAGCTGCAATTTTATGTGTGATTTTAAACACAAGTAATAAAAAATATGTGTTACCTTGAACGACTCCGAAAAACACTATAAACTGAACCATGTTCTCGCAAAAGATTAAGGTAATCGCGCCAACGATAAAGGTTAGAGATCCAACTACAGCGACTTTTCTAGCGGAAAACTTGTTAAGAAGAATATTTGTGGCTAAACCTATAACAAAAAAAAGAAAATTTTGCTTATTAACTTGTATTTATTACTATTACAAATTATTTTTACAGCAGATAAGAACATGTTCCGATTGAGTGACAAAAATGCGAATGTTACTTATCAAACTAAATTACGATACATTTATTTTGAAATAAAATCTACCAATATAATATAAAATTCTAGATATATCAAAGGTCATCAAGGCTTAAGGTCACCTTAAGCTTTAGCTGGCTAGTTACTACGTAACAATAATTTATAAAAGTTGGCATTAACAAAAGACATCCCCATTTAAATCCTCATAAAGAAAGCCTGCTGAGTAACCACTAAAGACTACCAAAACTGGAAGAACTAAAGTTAGGGTATATGTAGCTGAAACTAGAGTTAATTTGAGTCTTTTTATATATGTAATCTATCGATTACAATACTACCAATCCGTTAAATGCCATTTTAGTTAATTGTAATTGATAATGCTTTGGAGAAATATTTTAATAGATTTTTTTTTATTTTCCTTTTATGTTCAGTCATTCTCTTACCGCTTCATAAATAAAATAAAAATATGTTTTTTCTACGCCCTTTTTTATGCACTGATCAGGCTTGCCCAAAGTGTCACTTTAAAAATTCAGCTTCGTTAAACACTGTTATGAGTGATTTTGGGATTTCGGTATCTAGACACTGGTTGTGAATTTAATATTGATGGTATTTTGATGTTTGTCAGTTCTGACAGTCATGTCACACAAAAATTAATGATGGCGCTCCGCTCATGCAAAAACAAGCTCGTGAATAATGTGTCATTGATTAAACTTGTTGCAAATAAACCAGATATCATGACAAATTTGCCAAAATTTTTAAATATATAAATGAACGTATCCTAATGGAAAAAGAGAATAATTTAGTTCAAATTAGTCATTCTTTTCTAATAATTCTAAACAAAATTACTAATAACTTAATTTCTCATTCTAAGTTTAAAGCAGTGTCCGAGATCTTATTAAATGTAGACACTATAAACCAAAGACTCATTAATGCTGTTTTTAAATCTTCCCATAAACAAAATCACTGCCGAAGTATTCGCATGAAAGAACGATAAAAGAAAGTTGACGTTGATCACGAATCGAGTGAAGTTTTTGCGCCCAATTGATCACTTTAAATTTGTATAACTTGTTTAACGTTTACATAAAAGTTGGTGCAAATATACTGCCTTTATTACATAAGTGAAATTGATAGGTCAATAATTGTATAAACATTTTAAAATCATAACCCATTGCCCAACCGCTTATAGTACAATATTGAACCGGTATTCCCATTTAACTTAACACGTCTAGTTAGCGGTGACAGAATTGACTATTAAATGTTATAGCAACCAAATAAGTGCAAGGCACCGAATGGACCGAAGTAGTAGAACAAAGTAGATGTAGAATCCAGAGGAAACTACACTTAGACGTCATAAGACATTATAATGTGCATTGGAATGGGCAAAGACTGTGTGTTATATTTAAATTTCAAGACGCAGATTTAATTTGATTTTTAGTAAAATTTAAAAGTGGGTTTATTAATATATAGTTTCAAGTTTTATCTTACCCATAAATGAACTAACTGCGTTGAAAAAACCATTAGCTAGCGTTGTTGCAGTTGTTTCATCACCAATCGATGCCAAAAATTTTCCATAAATTAAGCCAAAAGTTGCTGACGGTGTACAAGTCGCGATCTTAAATGACAAGCAGGCAATAAGAAAGTTTTCTCAAAGGCCCTAGGGCATTTTGATTAGCGACAACTTTTCTATGATTGAACTGAGGTGGATTTTACTTGGTTAAAATCCATTTAACAAAATAACAAACTAAAGTTTCAGATTTTCACGAAATTATATATTTCCACATGACAATTGTTTCGACAACACCGTGTCTTTATCAAATGTAATATTTACAAACTACCTGCTCCTATATTTATCGAAAAATGACATTAAAACCTTAATTAACATTTTTGTGAGAATTTAAGTTTAATAATGGAGAGATATTTAAATCTAAATGGTCGTTAAGCAATACATTTGAATGTCTCATTTTGTTAATCTCCATGGCTTCCAATAAATTTAATTTTCTACTTTTTGTGGCTGTATGTAAAATATCAAAATTGTCGTCAAAAATATGTTTTTCTGTGTTTAAGTGTGTAGCATAATTAGAATCTAGACTATTGTTTTTAAACGCTCTTTTATGTTCGTTAATGCGTTTCTCGAAGGATCTACCTGTTTGTCCAATATAAAGTTTTCCATGGTGGTATAGATGCGTGGATGATGTATTTGCTTGCTTTGTTGGAACCGACAGACAATTAAATAATTTTTTAAATTACATTAACTCAGTACATAATCGTATAAAATTCACTATCGAGATTGAACAGGATAACTCTATTAATTTTTTAGACTTAACTATTATGCCACTCTTAACAGAAAATTACAACAAAGAACTTAATATCATTAAACAAATTGCACTGAACAACCGCTACAATCCATCCATTATCGATAAAATTATGAATAAAAAACAAGGACAGACAACAGTAAACTCTATTTATCCGAAACCTAGTACAGAACACGAACAATTTGAAACAATTACATACATAGGATAACCCAGTGAAAAAGTTTCCAAACAAATGTGGTTTAAAAATAGCTTTCAGAACTAACAACACAATAGGATAATTTTTAAAAAACAATAAAACTAAATGTCCAAAATCTCAAAAATCAGGTGTCTACGTTGAAATGCGGATCTTGTCCTAAAATTTATATTGGACAAACATGTAGATCCTTCAAGAAACGCATTAACGAACATAAAAGAGCGTTTAAAAACAATAGTCTAGATTCTAATTATCCTACACACTTAAACAAAGAAAAACACATTTTTGATTACAATTTTGATATTTTACATACAGCCACAAAAGGTAGAAAATTAAATTCAAATGTATTGCTTAACGATCAATTAGATTTAAATATATCTCCATTATTAAACTTAAATTCTCACAACAACATTAATTAAGGTTTTAATGTATATAATTTATAATAATTTTTAGGTATATATAGGAGCAGGTAGTTTGTGAATATTCCATTTAATAAAGACACGCTGTTATTGAAACAATTGTCATGTGAAAATATATAATTTCGTGAAAATCTTAACTTTCATTTCTTATTTATTTTGTTAACTTTTCTATGGCGATGTTGGATTTTCAGCGAGAGTCTTAGTGAATGCGTCAATATTGTCGTGTTATATTTTGTTAAATCCATTTTCGTTATACAGGACCTTACTAATAAAATAAAATTCTTATAAGTTATGTCTGAATGAACTAATTAAAACTGTACAGAATATAGAGACTGTGTAATGAATAAACTCAATTCTAGTACCCTCTAAAATTTTTTCATAAAATAGTTCCAATGTTATGAACCCCCATTTTCCCGTTTTCTCAAGTACAGACGATATCTGTTTATATCTAGTTATAATTTCCGTAGCAATAATTCAACCAACGTCATAAAGAACTTTGCAGACCTCCCCATCGCTTTCAAATTCTTCGCCAAACAATAGAAAATTTTCTATTTCACTGGCATCCTGTATAACGAAAAATGATTTTAAAAAATGCGACATCCATGGTCTAATTCCCAAAATCGTCAAATTCCTAGGTTCCTTAATAAAATCAAACTTCAATTTCCCTGCTGAAAACAAATCACAACCGCCACACCATTATCCCGATCAAAGCCAATATCAATATCTGGAATTATTTATTGGGATTTCGAGTTTCAATCAGTAAAATTGTTGAAGTAAAATTTTTTTTAAAACTTTATTTTTCTGTTATATTCAAAAAGAAAGCATGCAGAAAATTTTTCATTTATCATAAACATTATACAGTTATATTTTGTAACCCTTACCCTGCGTATAGAAATAATGCAGAGCTTTCAGTATTCACCCCTCTATCACTTTGTGCCCTATTCAGAAAGTCGGAAACATTCGAATATTAAATATTCGGCCAGATTGACGGGTATATATTATGCATTAGTTTTGTACACCATTTTTAATTGTAAAATAAAAATTTACGTTGCACTTATGGTTGTTTTAATAATTTTCAACCATAGCACAATATTTGCTGTTAGAAATATACTTTACTTACGAAAATCAAAGTGGTCGATATTGCGACGATATACCCCCATCCCCCATCTGGGGGTGCAACTTTATTTTCCACTGTTATTTGGAATTCTCCATTTCTGTTGCGCATCGTACCGATGTTCACATGAGTCGGTGTTTTCAATGTTTAAAACAGAAAATCAGAAATTAAATTGTGAATTCGATACGCCTAATCACAATTGATATCTTGTTATCAATATACCAATTTCATAGATAAGTTTCGGCAAAATATGGCGTCAACTTTTAAGCATTAGCAAATTATGTATGCCAAAGAAAAATTTAATCTCTTATTCACTTCTTAATCTTAAATTACGCAGATAACTTAAATTAACTCTTGTGATAGACTTATTGAAGAGTGCAATTCTCCAGTCTTCTACGAAACAAATTGTTTTATAGTTAAGACAGATGGATTTATGAGTCAAAAAGCAGTGATAACACATACGTAGTTTATTAACTGATTTATAACGAACGCATCGAAAAATGAATTCCCTTCGAATTTCTTGGAATTCCTTCATAGTGTACACAATTTACCCCTCGTTAGCTCCCAAATTTAAAATGGTGTATTAACTTACATCCAAAGAAATTTTTAAAATATAATAAAACTTATACCTGTACTGAAACAGTCCTGTATTTCGACGGAATCAGTGTTTCTTTTTTCCTATTTTAACCCCTCCTTTCTTTTTAGTTCATTATTGGCTTAAAATCGTCTGCAAAACTGATTTGAGCGTCACCCGGAGCATCCGACGTCTGGTATTCGGATGAAAAAAGAAATTTCCCTTTGGCTTTCATAAAGTAACAACCGGCTAGGTTTGTAACTGGACGGCTTGTTTCCAAGGACTAGAATAAAAAATAATAAGAACATGAACTTGAGAGGGCGAAGATATGAAGTCTAAATTATTAAAGCAAATTTCGAAAAAAAAACAAGTTACCAAAAGGTAATGTAATTAATGTAAGTAATTACTTTTTTCCCTTTGTTCGGTTTCGTTTTGGCTGTTTGTGTTAATACTATAAATAATTTTAACTAAATAGCCGAACACTTAAAACTAGTTTTTTGAGAAATCGAAATCTGTAAGGGCAAGGAATATATTTGTCAGGAATATTTTTGCCGCTCTAGCGCTGCGTTGTTACAATGGTTTTCGGAATTTTCTATAGGGATTGAAAAAAAATAGTAAAATTGATGACAGTTGAAAAAACTATCTTAACACTTACCCAAAGTCTTGAAAACTTTCAAAAATATTAACATTACAAAATATAAGACGAAATAAAGAAAATAAATATATAAAAATCGGAACTATCAGTCGACTGTCCCAAATGAATGTTTTCAAACAAGCTTTCAAACAAATTTTACGTCATTATTTGGAAAAATATGGATTGTTCTAAAAAGAAGGAAACTAGGTGACGATTCCGCATTACATAATATAATAAAAACCACTACAAACGCCGATACTGAAAGGAATAATCCTCGAGCTAATTTTTCGAAAAAAACTTTATGTAAATGTATTTAATAAACATCTCTTAATTTTGAATAATAGAAGTTGCTAACGTTTCCCCAATCAATCATCCTGTTGGCTTCTTCGGAGCTTAACTGAAACTGGTTTGCATTATATTCTGGATCTGCTTGTATACTGTTTGAGGAGAGCGGAGCTAAATAATCGACATGAACATTATCTCGGATAGCCGATTCCCCTAAGTGGCAGTTAAAATTGTGTGATTGTTTTCAATGGATTCTAGAATTTTTCTTTGATAGAAAAATTGATTACAAAAAAGTTCAATGAAGCTAATAGAATTAAGTACAAAACTATCACTTTTCCTTGTAATGGCTTTTAATATAAAGCTATATATTTTACTAGAATAGGTTGGAGAACCAATAGTGCTTACAATTGGTCGAAGAAGAAACGTAGATAAACGATATATATATATATATATATATATATATATATATATATATATATATATATATATATATATATATATATATATCCGTCAAACCACCAAAATATGCAATGCTCCATGTGCATATTTCGGACCGCGAGCATTGAAGATGCCAAGTGAGATCTTGGCGAAACGTCTGCAGGATTCCAGTAGGAGATCAACAAACGAACGGATGTCATCCCGGAATATGTTGTCATCATATATATATATATATATATATATATATATATATATATATATATATATATATATATATATATATATATATATATATATATATATATATATATATATATATATATATATATATATATATATATATATATATATATATATATATATATATATATATATATTCTCACGTATTGATTCACGGATGGAAAAATGTGATGACACTATATTCCGGGATATCATCCGTTCGCTCGTTGAACTCCGACTGGAATCCTGCATCCGACTGGAATTCTGCAAATCTTGCATCCGACTGGAATCCTGCAGACGTTTCGCCAAAATCTCACTTGGCATCTTCAATGCTCGCGCTCCGAAAACACTTCGAACACTGTGTGTATATATATATATATATATATATATATATATATATATATATATATATATATATATATATATATATATTTATATATATATATGTATATATATATATATATATATATATATATATATATATATATATATATATATATATATATATATATATATATATATATATATATATATATATATATATATATATATATATATATATATATATATATATATATATATTTATTTATTTATATATATATATATATATATATATATATATATATATATATATATATATATATATATATATATATATATATATAAAAGGAAAAACATGCTATAAAAAACACTCCGGGACATCATCCGTTCGCTTGTTACTTTCGCAAAATGAATGAGATCGAATCAGTTTCGAAAAAAAAAATTTTTTTTTTGTCCGTTTCTCCGTTCTCCGTTCTCTGTATCCGCTAAAACCGCTATAACTCGGCAACCGTTTGAGCTAGAGGGCTGAAATTTTGACCCTTTTATCTTGAAAAAATAATATTCTGAAAACGAAATATGACCCCGATCACCACGGCAACCCCGATTTTTTGTCACTTTTGTTTCGATTTTTCGGCTTCGCTATGAAACACGATAACTGTCCGAAATTTGAATCTATCTAATTGAAATTTTCCACGAGGGTAGAGACCGGGCCCCTAACGGAACCTATTGAAATTGAGAGGGATCGGTGATTGGGAAGTATTTTTAAAAATTCAAAAACCACTTTTTTTTTTTAAGTAAAAAATTGCTATATCTCGAAAACGGTTTCGCGGATCGAAACAATTCGCGAACGAGAAGATGCAGAATGTGGATACCCATAAATCTTTATTCTTGATAATTGTTCCCAAATATACAGGATGTGCCGGTATTTCCAATAAACTTATCCTCGAGTTACCCTCGCAAAGATAATTGACTGTAAGTTAAACACTGTTACTCAGTCAGACTTTTTTTCTACATGACAGCGTAGGCCGTAGAGACCGCTAAAATCCTTGTATTTAAGGTTTTCGCGTATTGTACAGGGTGTTCGAGATATATCGCGTTTTATTGAAAAATGCAACAGGTGCCCCAAATTTGCAGCTATCGACTTCAAATTAGGCAGGGTGGTAAAAGTCCACCCCCGCACCCAAATACTTGAAGCTAGGCGCAATCGGACATCGGCAAATATTTTTTAAAAATTTTCGAAAATTTTTTTGTCGTCTTTTTGGGCTGCATAAAAAAATTCATTTCGCGAAAACGCTTCACCCTATCGACAAAATTCTTGAACCAAAAGACGCAGAAGATCTGGGACTATAACTTTTGTTTTAGCCATTTTTTCGATTTTATGCATAGTTTTTTCATTATAGGCAAAAAACTTAAAGACTCTGAAAATTGTCCTTTTTCAGAGTACATTATTAGCAGTAGGTCAAAATTCATAAAAAATATGGCCAATTGGTTAGAACATAGGTGTAGACCACACCGAGAGCTACAATTTTTGTATTTACGGTTTTCATCTAGAACACATGCTGCTCGAGATATTTGAAAAAATGCATGTGAAAATCGCGCTCAATTTAGACGCGATGACGTCACCATTACCACGTGCTGTGCGCTGCATTGTTTCAGATACGTATTATTTTCTCGAAAACCATTTGCTCTATTGGCAAACTTCGTCTACCACGGAACGTGAGAGATTCAGGGTTTTAATCTCCATTTCCGTAATTTTTCCGATTATGTACAGGGTGTCTCGATTATGGGCAAAATATGTAGAGTACCGTGAAAATTGCCGTTTTCGTGTATAAAATATTAGCTATTAATGAAAAACTGTAAAAGATAGGAAAATTTGGTTTAAAACGTATTATGAACTGCATCGAGAGCTACAATTCTCTGATTTAGAGCTTTGGTCTACTATACAGGGTGCGCGAGATATATCGGGTTTTATTAAAAAATACAACAGGTGCCGCAAATTTGCAGCTATTGACTTCAAATTTTGCAGGGTGGTAAAAGTCCGCCCCCGCACCCAAATACTTGAAGCTAGGCGCAATCGAACTTCTCAAAATATTTTTTAAAAATTTTCGAAAAATTTTTTGTCGTCTTTTTGGGCTGCATAAAAAAATTCATTTCGCCAAAACGCTTTACCCGATCAACAAAATTCTTGAACCAAAAGACGCAGAACATCCGGGACTATAACTTTTATTTTAGCCATTTTTTTGATTATATGCATAGTTTTTTCTTTATAGGCAAAAATCTGAAAGACTCAGAAAATTGTCCTTTTCCAGATTACATTCTTAGCCGTAAATCAAAATTCTTGAAAAACATGGCTAATTGGTTTAAACCGAGGTGTAGACCACACCGAGGGTTACAATTTTTGCATTTACGGTTTGGGTCGTCGCGACCCTGAGGTTAATTTAAAGCGGACTCTAATTTTTTATTAAGAAGCAGAGCCCGCGAGCCCGCAAGACGTGGACTCGAGGGTAGAGACGGCACTAACCTCTTGTCGCTGCTGTCTCGCTGGACTGGGGCCCCAATAGCAGCTCCTCTTCGATCTTGAGGATCACGGTCTCGGTACGGTAGAGGTGGTTCACACGCACACGCAACGCGTAGGGAGACAATAGTTTTTTCTTTTGGGGTTCAACACTATCGGCGTGCTATCGATCCCGAGTTCGAACGCGAAAAAGACGTTAAGCCCGTTCTTAGTCGCACGTGCGCGCGCTCTCTCCCTCTTTTAGCTCTACATTTTTAAACTTCCGCGGTTCTTGCCCGGGTGTTCGCTTTGCGGATTTAACACGGTTTTCATCTAGAACACATGCTGCTCGAGATATTTGAAAAAATGCATGTGAAAATCGCGCTTAATTTAGACGCGATGACGTCACCATTACCACGTGCTGTGCGCTGCATGGTTTCAGATAAATGTAATTCTCTGGAAAACCGTTTGTTCTATTTGCAAACTTCATCTACCACGGAACGTGGGAGATTCAGGGTTTTAATCTCCATTTCTGTAATTTTTCCGATTATGTACAGGGTGTCTCGATTATGGGCAAAATATGTAAAGTACCGTGAAAATTGCTGTTTTCGTGTATAAAATATTATCTATGAATGAAAAACTGTAAAGGATAGGAAAATTTGGTTTAAAACGTATTAAGAACTGTATAGAGAGCTACAATTCTCGGATTTGGAGCTTTCGTCTACTATACAGGGTGCGCGAGATATTTGGAAAAACATAATCAATATAATCATAAATCGTCATGAAATGTCAACATTTTCAAAAAGTAGTTGCCGATTCGGATTTCTGATCCTCAGAAACCCCTTTAGCCAAAATTTTGCAACCTTTTGGGACATTACCTCGAAATCACATTTTGGGCTGAAAGACCGGCTCAAAAATCGATGGTCCGTAATTTATGATTTATATCTCGGTTATTTTAAACTGTGAGAAATTGAAATCTATATGTTATATACCTACGTCCTTTCTCTATCCAACAACACCAAAAAGTTGCGCACAAGTTGTACCGTTTGCCGTCGGGAACGGTTTTTGTGGGATGCTGCAAATTTTAAAATAATGCTTAATTACAATTAAATGGAGGGGGCTGGGGGGGACTTTATAGTATCTGCGAATAGGCCTCATTGACCTTTATCTACAGTAAAAATTTCAAGCTTCTAGTGGCTACGTAGGTATTTTAAAAAATTAAAAATTTAAATTTTTGGGAAAAATCACGACCATGAAAATTTTGGATCGAGGTCGATGTTAACCAATCCGGATGAAATTTGGCACGAAGATAGGTGGTCGGGTGGGTTTTTAAAAAAAATAGTCGGTTGTTTAATTCTAAGTTCCTTAGTCCTTTCGGGGGATAAAACATCGAAAAAAAAAGGATTTTTTTTTATAAAATGTTCTATATTGCCGCTATTTATAATTTTAGGAATTTGAAATTAATATGTTATATACTTTAGTCTTTTATCTATTTAATGATATGAAAAGATCTTACACAAGTTGTATGGTTTTTTGTCGGGAATGGTTTGTGTCTGAGACTGCAATATTTTCAAAAAATGTATTAATTATTATTTATAATTAAATGGTAGGAGCTGGGGAGGGCTTTATAATTTCTTTGGATAGACCTCATTGACCTCCATCTTCAGAAAAAATTTCAATCTTTTCGAAGTAACGTAGGTATTTAAAAAAAATGAAAACCAAAATTTTTTAGGAGCATCATGATACCCATGAAAATTATAAATTCAGAATATTAACTAATAATGGAGGGGGCTGCAAGCAGATTTTACGGTATTGGCGAATAGACCTCATTGACCTCTAAGTTTGATAATAATTTCATTCTTCTCGGAGAAAGGTATATATTTAAAAAAATTAAGAATCTAAATTTTTTGAAGAAAAACACATAAATATGAAAATAATAAATTGAAAATATTAAAAGAAAATGGGGGGTTGGGGGGCGACATTATAGTATCCGCGAATGGACCTCATTGATGTGTATCTTCCATAAAAATTTCAACTTTCTCGGATCAATATGAGCTGAGAAATAACCTTGAAATCTCATTTTAAATGGAAAAATCGGCTTAAAAATCAATTATCAATTTTTAACGTTTTATATTTTATTTAATTATAATTTTAAAAAATTAAAAATTTTGCGTTCAATACTTTGATCCTTCCTCAATCCAACGATACCAAAAAGATTCCCACAAGTTATACCGTTTGCCGTCGGGAGCGGTTTATGTGTGAGACTGCAAATTTTAAAAAATAATTATTAATAGGTAAATGGAGGGGGCTGGGGGGAATTTTATGGTATCTGTGAATAGACCTTATTGACCTTCATCTTGAAAAAAAATTTCAATCTTCTCGGAGCAATGTAAGTATTAAAAAAAAAAAATAAGAAATATAAATATTCTGAGAATAATGTTTCTAATTCAGGAGTAGGCTGTGAGATTTATTTGAATCTTTTATTTTGATTGGTTCAGCGATTATACGTGCAATTTTCTTAAGCTTTAATCCTATTGCTCTATGCGTTTCACTATAAATAGTAGGCTCTGCATCTCGTCCGGGGGTTTTGAGATGCGCTGAAGACGATGCGATGATTTAAAATTGTGTCCGACGTTTCGTTTTAGTAGGAAGCTATCTTTAGAGCGTTTATACGTAATAATTTGAATTTGAACGTGGTTCCGGCGGTTTTGAGAAGCGCTGAAGACGATGCAATTATTTAAAATTGTGGCCGACATTTCGTTTTTGTAGGCAGCCATCTTCAGGGCACTAATTCGTAATAATTGGAATTTAACGGTGGTTTCGGGGGTTTTGAGGTGCGCTGAAGATGATGCAATGATTTAAAGTTTTGTCCGACGTTTCGTTTTAGCAGGAAGCCATCTTCAGAACACTAATTCGTAATAATTGGAATTTGAAGGTGGTTCCGGGGGTTTTGAGGTGCGCTGAAGATGATGCAATGATTTAAAATTGCGTCCGAAGTTTCGTTTTAGCAGGAAGCCATCTTCAGAGCATTAATTCGTAATAATTGGATTTTGAAGGTGGTTTGTATGAGTTTTGAAAAATGCTGAAAACAAAGCAATTATTTAATATTGTGTCCTACGTTTAGATCCAATCAAGTACAACAAATCGCAATTACTCGTAAAAAGTTTTATATTTAACGAAGTTTGCCATGATATTTAAACTCGGCTAGACATAAACGACCCTTTATACAGGATGCAAACATAATAAAATTACATTTTGCGAAAGTTCCGTAGTGGTCCGCAGGAGCACGACAGAAAAACAATGCTTTCTCCCAGGACAAGAAGCCGCGAAGCGGCTTCTCTGAAATAGAAAGCCGCGGAGCGGCTTTGTTTACTGCGTAGCGCGCAGCGCGGAGCAGTCGTCTCGCGCAGCAACGAGATTGCGAAAGCAATCTTGTTGAATTCCGACTGGAATCCTGCCTAATAATAAATTGTAATGAAATAAACTTTCAAGTTGATTAGAAATGATGAACGCGCATGTTCTTAAGTCGAAAATATATTGATAAATAATCCCAAATCATGCTTTTTAATTGTTGTGATAAGAAATAGTATTTAGGTATATATTCTAGTATTTTGCACCAACAAGGGCCGTATTAAAAGAATCGAATATTTTAATATGATAAAAGATTCTTGCAGAGTTTCTTCGCCTAGCTTTCCAAATTTTGCTTAAAATTGTGAGCTACCTTAAATTTATGGGTAATACTAGAAAAAAGTTGTGCAAAACTAGAAATGATAAAGTGCTATTTCAGTAATTTGATATGAAACACCGAAGCTAAATAATCAAAATAACATAAGATATTCTTATGAATATGAGTCCTTTCAGAACGCCATTCAAATGTCCGTCTTACTGGTAGAGAAAATGGACGGAAACTTGCAAGTAGCTATCATATTACAACGATTTGAAAATAAAGGTTCTTTTTCTTATTCGCTCTTTGTTGCCCACAATTCTGAAGCATATATATTTTTGAAGATCTAAGCATAGGGATGAGTAGTTAATGCGTCGCTGTAAGTCAAACCAATTGTGCACATTTTTATTTTTCAAGTTTCAAAATTTTTCAACCTCGTAGAGTAGTTTTCCATGCCACAAATTATATAATACTTTTAGATTTCAACGTCGTACTTCTCTATGAGCATGTATTATACACCATGCAATTGCAATTATACACAATATAATAAAAACATTCATTTCGTCATGCTGGTATATTCAAGTTGTTCCCCTTTTTTCTTTTAACCTATAGTACCACATTTCCAATAACCAAGATACGACGCAGATTAGATACATGATTGTGAGGATATGGCAAACCAAAAGATCACTGTCTGTCCAGGATTTGATGTAACCTGAAATTGAAAAAGTTTCCAAAAATATAAACCTCCCAATATTTGTTCGAACATTTAAAGGATTATGCAACAGTATCTAAAAACTTACTCATTAGCGGGGCAGTCACCAAACCAATTGTTCCATTGACGACCATAAACAAAGAAAAAGCGGTTGCAAATATATCGGGGTATTGTTCAGAAAATACCAATGGCATCACTGTTTGTACAGTGCAACGCATGGAACCCAATATAACAAGGGACGTTATTTTTAAAATATACGAATCGCTTCCAACAAATACTAGATAATGGAAAAATATTAAGTTTATATTTAAAAAGTGAACTATGCCCTTACCAAACCTAAAAATAGCACTTAGAAATGATCCCATAAGTAGCACATGTCTGCTATTAAATTCAACTAATCCGGATACAACTGAAAAAATTAATCTAGCCGCCAAATCAGATCCAAAATAAATAGATATGGCCAGTGCTATATCAGATGAGGAATATCCTATATTAGTCAAAATTAAAGGAATTATTGGAAAAAATGACACATCGGCTGTATATGATAATGCTACGCCGATACTGACATTAAGGTATTGCAGATTTTTTAATAGCGACATATCCATGGACTCCAAGAGAGATTTGCTGAAAAAGAATCGAACAAGATAAAATGATGATAACAAAGTAGCATTAATTGTTGTAAGTTTGACAAAATATGGAACTGCAAATGAAAAAAAAAACAAGCTTTCAAATAAATGGTCAATTTTATTATAAAAATTATCATTGCATGCCAATTCCATTTTAATGAATAAACAATCAAGGGACGTTTTCCAAGAATTATTAAAAAAATTAAATCGCGTACTACATGAAGCAATTAGTATTTTTCGTTAGATTGAGCATCGTGAAAATCCAATATGGTTTTTAGTAGAGCAATAACATATTTAGTAAGTTTTATTAAAATATGTCAATAAGAAATATGTTAATTAATACACTTACGTAAGAAACACAAAAGTCTTAAAAACCACAACTTTTTTCTTATTTGAATGGTATTTCAAAAAAAAATCAGGGACTTTCCTTAGATATTCCTATAATATATTCATTCACTGAAACATTCAAATTGGATGGTGGAAAATGCTTCCAACTTCCAAACTTGAACTAAGATTGTGGAAACCTTCAGAAAAACAGAACACGCATACTTTTTCCACTTTTACCATAATCTGTTAAATTAATTATTAATGTTTAATGTTTTGTGGACAATCCCAAGTTGAACTTATTTGAAAGCACAATATTAATTTTTTTCTCTCAAATAACAACTAACCAAAATGATTTGTCCTCGAGGTTTTCCAAAATAGAATCAATGGGAATCGCCGCACTTCTATCACCAAGACTTACTACGGACATTCTTGGCTTACGAATATAAACCTCAACATCTCGAGATAATTTCCTGTTTACAAATTTTTCGCTAGGATAATTAGCCTTGTTCATATTGGTATTCACTAAAGGTTGCATTTGAGAATATAGCATTTCATTCCCCAACGATAAAGCTCGTTGTCTTAAGTTGATTTTACCAATAGCAGGACCTAAAACATTAAATATTGGATAACATAGTTTTGTTAAATTTAGATTAATTAATTTTTCAAAGAAACATCCGCAGGCTACTGTAATGCTATTGCTTCTGGATTCCTCCGGCATCGGTTGTTGTTAAGTCGAACTCGCTAACGCCTATCATCCTGTTGACTTCTTCAGAGGTTAACTGAAACTAGCTCGCATATTTTTCTGTTCCTGCTGCTTGTTTTAGGGGAGCGGAGCTAAATGAGGGGCAGAAACATAGTGTCGGATGACTGATTTCTATATGGGTGACAGGTAAAGACCAAAGTCGCGGTTAAGACTGTTTCTATTGATTCTAGAATTTTTCATTGGAAGAAAATTTTATGTCCGGTTTCGTGATATTCGTAGAATACTTCTTTACTAAAGTCTCTATTCCTGAAACTCTCAACATCATTCCAGATAGATTAAAACCCGAGAATCTGGAACCAAACCTTCTAACCTTAATTGAAAAATGCTGTTCTGGAATACATTTTCCTATAACGGTCAAACTTTTGAAGAAACGTCGGGAACAGCTACGGGTTTATGGAAGCCTTTGAGAAGAAAGCTCAACACCTTCCATCTAAAAGCATCAAAGACAAAATTCCACTTGAGATGCTGGGAGTTTACAGTATTTCATGCAGATGCGACAAAGAATACATTAGAGAGACCGGACGAAAAATATTCACTAGGCTCAAAGAATATGAAAGAGCCTTAAGACTAACACAACTAAACTCATCAACAGTTGCCGAACACAATCACGACACTGATAAAACTAAAATTCTTGCATGTAATCAATTCTTCTACCGACGAAAAATCCCAAAATCTTAACCGCGACCTTTCACCAATATGGGAATCAGTCATCCGGGACGTTGTTTATGCCCCTCATTTAGCTCCCCACCCCCTCCCAAAAAAAAAGCAATATATAAGCAGGTACAGAGTAAAATGTGAGCCAGTTTCAGTCAAGCTCTGAAGAAGACAACAAGATGATAGGCGAAGGGTTGGCAAGTTCGACTCAACCACAACCGACGCAGGAAGAATCCAGAAGTTTCTTAAATAATATTACATTAATGGAAATAAAAAAAAAACTTCAAAAATTACCATTATTGAGCTCAAATGTGTCAATTGAGATCTTTCCTATATTCGATTGGGCAGGGCGAAATGATAAAGCCGAAGGGAAGCTCAAAACGCTTAAGTTCGCTATCAGTATTAACGTTCCTTTGAAACCTAAATATTCGATAGAAATCGTTGCCAGTGGCGGTGCACTCATATAGGCAGCAATAAGGAACGTTTGCGATAAACTCATCATCACAGACAATTTATTGTCAAAATAACAGTTCATTGCAGAAAATGAAGACGGCATCAATAAACCGAAGCCTATACCTAAAAGCGCGCAGGACATTTTCTGCAATACAACTAAAAATTAGTAAAACATATACGTTACCTTGAACGACTCCATAGAATAAAAGAAATTGAATCATAGTTTTTGAAAAAATTACATTAACTGCTCCGATGATAAATATTGCCGATCCAGCCAGGGCCACTTGTCTATACGAATATCTATTAAGAAGAATGTTTGTTGCTAAACCTAAAATTAGATGCGATTGTAAAAAGATGTCATTCAGTAATTACACCTAAATGTGTAAAATAGACCATGTGTATATATTATGCAACAAGTTTTATAAAATACAATTTAGTTCCAAGATTTTTTAGGCATGGTGGGAACGCAGCGGAGCCATTGACTAATAAATGAGTGTTTCAAGAAATTTACAAACGTCTTGCTTATTATACTTTTTCTAGCACTATTAGTTTTCGGGTATACTTTGGCAGCACAACACGAATACATTTAAATTTAAATAGATGCTTAAAAATATCAAAAATAATTTAGAAAGTGGAAAATGTACTACACTGAAGCATCCGAAGAACCGAATTCATTCCATGCTAACTAACAAACCAAAACTGGTTTATGAATGTTTCGGTTTTTTCTTCTAAAATTAAAATTATTATCTTCGAGAGAGTAAGTTCTTCATAGAGTCTCCATAATGAAATAAAATAAAACGAATGAAAGACCGATAACCTAAGTTTGACCTTTCACCATTCTGAAAAATACCTAACCGAATACGAACCAAGAACCTCCTTTCGAAAGCATTTTGGATAGGACCATTTAAATTAAATCGTATGATATGATGACCATTTCTTTGTCGTTTGTTAGCCACTTAGATTGCAGTTATACCTTTAAAGGATTAGAATATTGTTTAAAATCTCACCCATAAATGAACTAACGGTGTTAAAGAAACCAGTTGCCAATGTCGTTCCAGTTGTTTCGTCACCAACGGAATCCAAAAACTTTCCATAAATTAGTCCAAAAGCAGCGACTGGTGCACACGTAGAAATCTGAAGGAAAGTGTTGATGAAAATAAATGTACTTATAAATTTTGGTTAGTATCGACACAGTCTCTTTTGCAACAAATTTAACAATTAACAATCCAGTATACAAAAACTTCAGAAATGGAAGAAAATTGGTCAGGCGATATCGAAAGTTTCAAACCATAAAGTATGTGAGCTCTTCAACGAAAGCTAATTGTCTAACGTATACGTTATAAGCTTATTTGTTACATTTTCATTAGTGTTTTTTGTGTGATAGTAAAGTCTAGACTCGATAAAAAGTGCGTATTGCAAGTTGCTGATTCAAATTTGCCTGACGAATTTCTCTTTCTCCGTTTTGACAATTCCAAATTATTTTGTTTCTACTTTGATGTAAATGCCTCATTTTTTTTTCTCGTACATTCAATTATGATTAAATTTATTATCTATAATCATGAAGGTGTCCCATGTGGTCAACTTTATCATCAATTAGATCCACTTATGTTGAAACACTATTATATTATTCGATCACGACTATATCATTAAGTAGAATTGTACTGGATTAAATTACGACTATAACTATTATAAATTATAATAATTATCATTAAATATATATTATAATAATTACAAACTAGAGAAAATTTTAACTTATTTGTTACTTATATATTAACAGCAATTTTTTTAAAGGACGCCTTAGTCACGACCTTCTTTTGGTGCGAGCGGAAAGCAGCAAAGCCAGTGTTTAATGAGCGAGTTTCTGAAAATCATAAACGTATTACATACTATACTTTTTCCACGACTGTCACGAAACAGCACAAATACATTCACTGAATGAGGTGTGACCATCAGAACTGATAAACGTCAAAATACCATCTGCGTTATAAATCAAAACAAAAAAAGAATCCTATTACCCCCAAACCCGTGGCTAAAGTACGAGAAACGCTCGGATTGACTGGCATTTTAATGAAGATGACGTTTTAAATTGACACCATATCCACAACTTAATCATTGTTACGTCAAAATAAAGAGCTCATAAAAAATAATTAGTATTCCCGTTTATATATGTGTAAGTATTTTAAAGTTGGTAGTAAGACATAGTATATTATGCAACAAGTTTGATAAACGCCGTTTGAGTCACAATTTTGTTTTGGCAGAGCGGAGCGCAACGGACCGCAGAGGGGCGAGTGTATGAAAAAGTTTATCAAACGTGTTGCATACAATATTTTTCCTTTAATTATCAGTTTTTAGGTACATTTTTTCAGCACTAATACATTCAATGAGTGACGCGTGATATGACCGTCGTTATTGACAAATGTCAAAAATCAATCCGCTGCCAAACCAGTGAGTATATAATACCCCGGGCATGTCCGAAGCGGCTCCCCGCCGTAGGTAACGAAACTTACATATTTTTCTACTCCCTTCACCAAAATACCCATTTATAAACCCATCTAGCTTGTGAAAAGTTTCACTTAACCGCGTCACTTTCGTTTCCTACGCCTGCGGTCCACTTACGACATTTCCGGGTTTGGCAGCAATCGGATGCTTTCGGAGACATTTTCCACGTCTTGAATTTTCACGTTTATCAATTCTGACGGTGATGTTAGTGAATGTAACTGTGTTGTTTTGCAAAAGTGTACCTAAAATCTAATGGCTCGTTTATTAATCACCCTCCACAACGCGATGCTCGTGCCAAATAAAATGAAATGCCGTTTACCACACTTGTTGCATAATATGCTATTCTGTACTCCCTTCTGTAAAATAACCAATTATACATCGATTTAGCGTGCGTGTATAGAGTGTTTCACATTGGATTCTGGAGAATGGTAAAGGATAAAGATTGGCTCAAATTGGGTAAACGTAATGGTGAAACGAAAAATATCCATTGACAAATTGAAGTTTGCACTAGTAGTGCATAACTATAACACAATTCAGATCAGAAAACATTAAGTATAATATGTATCTTCGAAAGTTTTTGAATAAACTATACTTTTCAGCGGAATTAAGGATCCCATTTCCGAAATCCCAACCGTCGAAGTAGAATTTGAAGTATCCTAATTAATGTTTACATACATATAGGTGAAAAAAATATTGAACTCTTATACACCCATTTTTCTCAGTATTGATATCCCCTCTGAAATATTGTGTTATCAGTAAAATTATGTGCTTATGGACAAGTGGTTATAAAATTACAGATTATCAACTGTTTACCAATAAAACTCAGGCGGGTAACGTCTAGTGATCCTTATCATATAATAACTATTTAGGCCGAAACATTGAAAGGCAATTAATATTTCCATTCACTCATATACAGTTCGATTGTTTAACAATTACATTAATTGCATATTTACACAGCACCCGCTAAGAAACTGCGATAAAACAGTTTTTTTTTTGCGAAATCCTATAGCGATCTTTGTATCAGAATATTAAGAGTACATTTTAAAATCCAAATAGAATTTTTCGTAAATAGATTATGTGTGACGCAATTCAGTCTCTAAATACTGATGGTTTATTCAAATGAGGCATGCTGAATCATTTTACAAACGATCACTGGATACAAGTTAGTAATGTTTTCGAAAATCTTTATACTATTTATACTATACAAATAAATTTTTAAAATTAGAAGCTTTAGGCTCCTTATTTGTTTTGAAGCATCACATGACTGAGATCCACACTTTATTTAATTGTGCTTTCTTTTATAATCTTTTTTACCTATTTAATGCTTACCCCATTCCGTACCACAACCCATAATTTTAATAAGTATAACGACATAGTTTGCTTTACTCAGTACCCATCGCATTGTCATTTATAATACGATAAGATGTGAAATCATATTTTGATTTTGATGTTGTTTTAAATTAACTGTTTGTGGAACTGTCTTTTCCCAAAAAGCGATAATTTAATTTGTTCTGAGGATCTATTTGTAGTCTGTTTTTATGGGGGCAGGTATAAACTTATGTATGAGAAAAATCATTCCACTCAAATTATTTGGTGGTTTTCACTTTTGATTCATGATAATTAAGACATAAATAAAAAATCCCCGTTAGAAGTATTTTCTAATTAATTTCTAGATAATTATGTAACCATAGAATGTAATACAATCCAGGTTAGTCGCGGGACACTATAACTCTAAATACGTAGCCAAAAATTATACATTGTTTTCAAACTTACATGTCTTAAATAATAAAAAATAAAAAGTGGCAGACCAGAAATATGTTTACTAGATGATGGGGTATTGGTTATCATCTGGTTAAAATCTACAAGAATACAGAGATATAGGATGAATTGAGGCTTCGTACGCAGATATGAACTTCTGAAAACAATTTACAGTCTTTCCATATCTGTTTTGATGTTCCAGCATTTTAGATACTTTCCACCACCGCACAATATATGTTTAGCCACGTTATGAAAAATCAAAATAAAACTTACGAAAATTACCGTGGTTGCTATTGCGACGATATAACCCCACCCACCATCGGGGGGAACAACTTTATATTCTATTGTCGCATTAGATTCCTGACCTTTAGTTATCATAGTAGGTAGTATGCACTAGAGTAGTCAGTGCCTTTAATAATTGTACCATTAAATCAGAAATTCAATTGTAAATTTTGTGTACCTTATCTTATTTGACGTTTTATTATCAATATCAGCAAAATGTTATATCTTAGAAATATGTGCTGCCAATAAACCGCACTAGGTAGGGGCAAGCATTTGTTTTTCCCAGTTTTGTTTATCCCGGTCGATTATAGCATAGGTAAAATGAGGGATTCCAAAATAAAAGTTTTTTTTTCCAAAGCTGCCCCACCTCTACGAAACCCTTAGCTCATTTTTTGGGAAAATCTCTAGCACACCAGCAGGCTCCCAATTTTTACGAAAGCATTTTTGATTTAGTCATCTAGCAAAAAAAAAGAAAAACTAACTATATCGCTACCCTTGTAACTCTACCTTTTAACCCATTTAGATTTGTCTAAGTATTCAAGTGTAAAAGTCATCCTGCATCGCGCAGAACTTATAAATCGGAAAGAAAATGTTCGACAATCCAAACTTATAGTTCATTGTTCTTAACAAAATTATATAGCTTTTCTTTGTTTCTGTAATTTTGAAATAATGAATAATACAATTATAACTTGTTTGTTGTCCAGAAAATTAACCAAAATCCACCTTTCGCTGCACAAAGAATACTAATTGAAAAATATACAAAATATTTAAAAAACCAGAAGACATGAGGAAATGGAGAGTAAAATAACATATAGAATTAATTAATTTTGTTGGATAGATCCCATAAAAGGGCAGTCAAACCTTGTATAGCTTAATTAAAGTCGATCGAAAATTTGTAGTAGACAATTTACAATATTCAGATTTGTCGCAAGATTATTCCTTTGACAAACAATCTCTATTCTAGTACTTGAGTTAAGTTGACCTTCAATGGAACACAGCTCTAGTTTTGACTTATTTTAATATAAAAAATTAAATTTTCGTTACATCAAAAATCAGGTAAAATTTATTTATACGATAATTAATGCCGAAATTTAAGAAATGATAAGAATTTGACGAAACTGATATTTCTGAAGCTCCTAAATCCTAATTATATTTGTTACTGTTGTATATCTTAAGGCCCCCTACAACGAAAACGAAAATCTTTTTGTAATGTCAGCATGAAATAATTGATAACAAAAATATATGGCACACACGCAAATGTGAATAGGGATTAAAACAACGTTTTTCCTCGTTTTCGTCGGGTCACAATCCGGAATCGTCACGGAAATTCTCATATTTTAATTTACCAAATAAAAATACTCGCACCCAAAAATTGTCCCCTTGGAAAACTCCTTGGCTAGAGCTACATAACAATTTCAAATTTAGAAGTCACAATTTAAAAATTTGTCTTGTGTCTGGGCTGAATATATTTTATAGGATTGCCCAAGGTAATGAATTAATAGTTTTATAAGCAATGCTATATTCCAAACACATGCGTTTCCTTTCAAAACTGGGAGTGAAGTCATTCGTTGCATATTATTATGATAAAAAAATTGTAAATTTAGTTCATATTGAGTCTCCCGAATTACGGACGACCTGTATTTGATAGGCAATAATGTGTTCTCGCTTTCTTGTGTGCAAATTTAGAAAACAAATGCTTGACACTCAAAAAAGACAAAAAAAATTAAGGACCAAACTAAAACGAATTCTAGATAGAGATTTCCCATTTTAACCGTCACAGCGATTTGACATATTTTGTTGGTAAAGATTCCCGTAAGGGATGTTTTTTTTAGATGTATAGAACTTTTTTTTATTGAGAAGTGAGTTTTATTTTAAGGGTTTTTTTGTCGATGACTTTTTCCAACATTTGCGGCCGTATAACACGGCGAATGTTGTCTTCCAAATGGTCAAGCGTTTGTAGCTTATCCGCATAGACCAATGACTTTACATAGCCCCACAGAAAGTAGTCTAGCGGTGTTAAATCACAAGATCTTGGAGGCCAATTCACCAATAAATCGATTGTGGCACGAGCTGTGTGATATGTTGCGCCGTCTTGTTGAAACCACATCTCCTGGACATCATGGTTATTCAATTCAGGAATAAAAGAGTTAGTAATCATAGCTCTATACTGATCAAAATTGACTGTAACGTTCTCGCCATCACCGTTTTTGAAGAAGTACGGACCAATGATTCCACCAGCCCATAAAGCGCACCAAGCAGTCAGTTTTTCTGGATGTGACGGTGTTTCGACATACACTTGAGGATTGGCTTCGCTCCAAATGCGGCAGTTTTGTTTGTTGACGTAGCCATTCAACCAGAAGTGCGCTTCATCGCTAAACAAAATTCGCTTATGAAAATCGAGAACAACGGCAATCTCGTTTTGGGCCCATTCGACGAATCTACGCCTTACTTGATGATCGTTTGGCTTCAATTCTTGCACGAGTTGGATTTTGTAAGCACGTAAACCAAGATCCTTCCGCAAAATCTTCCATAAAGTGGATGGACACAGATCCAATTCCTGTGCTCGATGGCGGATGGACTCATTCGGATATTCCTCAATGTTACGCTCTACAGCAGCTATAGCGTCTTCTGTACGCACCATACGGCGTCTCTGGGGATGCGAATTATCAATAAGAGTAAACGTGGTGCGAAAACGTTCCATAGTTAATCGAATTAACTGCTCTGATGGACGATTTTGTTGACGATAAAATGGACGTAGTGCGCGATGCGTATTCCTTACAGAACGATTATTTTCGAGATAAAATTGCACTATTTGCAAGCATTGTTCAGGCGTGAGTCTATCCATGATGAATTGCCAGACCAAGCTGAGGCTAAATCACTTGAGAGCTGTTAAATCGCTCGCCATCTTGAACAGTAATGACAACTTAAAGTTCTATACATCGAAAAAAAAACACCCATTATTTCCAAAATCGTGTTTATCATGGGACTACTTATCATTTAATTGACGCGATTCATTTCGTACAGCTTACAGCCACAAACAATACAATACAACACATTTCACATCACTGAATATAATTAAATTATATAAAGTAATTTTTGCATATCAGAACAAAACAACAAGGTAGACATCATTATTGTCAATACTCATCAAACTGTCAAACAATCAAAAACCTGTTTCAACCAACTCCATCGAACCAGAAAGGTGGCGGTAATGCAGCCAATACAAATTTTGTGAGGCTAATTTTATTTAGAGTAGTAATTGGTAGTAATGGGGATTGATAACTGTAAAACACATTATTATTTATTAATCAATTTTAAACACTTTTTTTTATCCTTGTTTGACCTAAATAGTTCTGATATATTTTGACTATTTTTGAGGGTGAATTTTATGCTGGTGCTAATTAATAAGCATTTCTTTAAACGGTAAATTCATATCTTGCAATGAAACAATGAATTGTTTGTTGTTAATTTGATATCATCATATTCATGATAGGCTATCAAAATTGAAACAAAAATGTTTCATTCTTAAACAAACAAAATTATGTGGATATTTCAGAATAATACTGCAGAGCAAATACGTACCTCAATTTTCTAATGAACGTTTTTTGAATGTGAAAAATTGTGAATTTCGAACTCGTTTGCACGTTTTTCGAAGATGATATAATTTTAATTTAGATTATTATTATTATGCTAATTAAAAAAAAAGTTTGATAACCAAACAACGTGTAAATAACTTCACTAAGAATATGATGATGACAAGTATAAAAAACTTACTGTGTTCACTCAGAAAGAAACTGCAAAAAAAGACGAAAAAGCCTCTTTCTTTGAAAGTCGAAAATATTGTTGAAAATTGCCTTTATTCAAGAAATTGCCTTCTTGAATAAAGGTTTGAAATTTGCACTGCCTCCAGTAAAGGATAGCCTATCAGATATTATAGGTAACATTGAAAGTTCTATTCAATATGTTCCAGAATCTACCAAAGGATTCACGAACGTAACGAATCAAAACCCCCAACACACCAGAATATCGTCAAGGGATTGAAAGAAAAAGATTGTTTCTACTTAAAGGCAGACAAAGGGAATAAGGTTGTTATAATTGATAAAAAGGACTATTTTGAACGAGTAGATAGTCTTATTCAACATGGTCCTTACACCACAGTTTCAAGAAATCCCTTAGCAAAAATGACTATGGAAATTAAAAATACTTTAAAACGATGTAACAACCTTGTCCCTGATAAGTTAAAATTTAAATTAACAGTTAGCAATCCAAAGCTGGCGAGGTTTATTGTCTTCCCAAGATGCATAAACCTGGGAAGGCAATGAGACCTATCGTTTCAGCCATTGGTAAACCATCATATAATATTTCAAAATGGCTAGTTGAAGAATTCAAGAAACTGATTATCTCTTGTGGCAACTTTGAGGTTCCTAACTCTTTTGTTTTTATGGAGAAACTTAAAGATATTCATTTAGAAGATAATGAAATTTTGGTCTCTTTTGATGTAAGCTCGTTATTTCCTAGCGTACCTATACCACAGACTCTTGAATACCTTAGGGAATTACTTCAGTTGAATAACCTGAGTCCTGAAGCTATCAACGAATATCTTATTCTTACGAAATTATGCATGGATCAAAATTATTTTCTATATAATAACAATGTCTATCAACAGTTGGAGGGAACGGCGATGGGTAATTGTCTATCTCCTTTCCTTGCCAATTTGTTCATGGGAAAGTTTGAGTCTAAACTATTTATAACGGGCGCTTTATAGATAAATTAATTAATAAGCATAAACACAAAAGAATGTTAAGGGAAGTCACTAATCGTCAACAAAATACGCCAGCAAAAGACCATTTTGTAGTAATTCCATATGACCCTAGATATACTAGAGGATTAGAAAAAAATTTTTGAGAAACTTGCTTGGAAATCCCAAAGATAAAATTGATTTGTTGGAGAATAGTGGCATCTACGAAATAAAATGTAATGATTGTAATTTAAAGTATGTTGGGCAAACTAAACGTTCTATCAGAATTCGTTTCAAAGAACATATGACACACTTAAAATATGGTAGGACTGAAAAGTCGAGCGTAGCTCAACATGCTTTAGAAAATAACCATGCTATAGATATATATAACCTTAGGTTAATAAAAAATGTGTCTAATAATAGATTATTAGATGCGTTTGAAAGCATCGAAATAGTCAAAAGTGGAACGCAGTGTCTGAACCGAGACCGAGGGTCCATCCCATTCAGCCCCCTCTACTGGTTGCTAGGTAACGTTTCGCAACCAATAGCGCGACCACTTTTCAGCTATAAAAAGGCCGTCTTATGTTAGTTAAATTTAGTTTATATCATCTGCCGATGATGCCAACTTGGTTGGCGAAACACGTGTCCAGTGTTCTAAATAAAGTTGTGGTGCAGTAGTGGTTATAAACGTAAGTTTGAAGAATATGATGGTAAATAAAGCAATTTAACATCCCATTCTCAAATTGACTAGGGTTTTTTTTATTCTAAATTTGCCTAACTTTTCCATTACGCTGTGCCGTTGCAAATGCAGTTAAGATCGACTTCACTGGTTTTACTGTTATCAAAAAATTCTTCTAGTGCAAAAGCGGCCTACACCAAGAAGTGGGTAAATAAATTGCCAGAAGTATAATATTTTCGGTGAAGTGTGGTCTAGACACCTAATTACTTTCTAGTATCTGCTATTGAAGGGCGTTCAATTCAAGCCCTTACTTTTCGGAAAGCTCAAATTATTCCATCGCTTTACCGACAATAAAATATATCAATAGTAGAAATTCCGATTTTAACATTTGTGTGTTCTCTACCCACTTATCTGAAATGTTAAAAAAACCCGAACAAAATTTTAGGCTTTTGAATAATTTGTAACCTTAAGTTTGTAAAATTGGAAACACATGTGGTTGGAAGTAAATGCTAAATTCAAGGAATTTGATTGCTTTTATTCTATTTAATCGATCCTATAGTTTAAGTGGTTTAAAATTTACCTATACAATAATATGGACAAAGTCGCCATCAGTTTGTATATAGTATTAAATAGGTTTTAGCAACGATTAAACCACCAGACAAAAGTTAGAACATAAGCTTAAGATTTCTCTAAAAAATTCATGTGTTTAACATTTTCCTATAAAATTTCAAAAGATAAAGAATATGTTGCACACCTGAACATAAACTTAGCTTAACATAAAATAGATTCAATGATCCCTTTAAAATAAAATGTTAAACAAACAACAATAATCTTGGTAGTTATTTGATGTCGATTATTTGTCCATCCTGTCAAGAAGCAAATGTATCGATCACCGCTGGGTCCGAATCTTGCTGACTAAAAAAAAGAAGTGAGTGGGTTTCGAGCTTTGGTTTCAAAATGGGCGTAACTGAATCATGAAGTAATATGGAGCAAAGCCGAATTTGTTTGGGTGTTCTTTAAAATATTTTTGTTGAAAAAGTAACCAAAACTAAGTTCTGAAAATGCGTTTAAATGAATATTTAACCAAATCAAACAAAATAGTTGTTTTATCATTTTTGGCTACTTGATCAGATTGAGTCGTAATATGCGTCATTTCATTCACCGTCAAAGTGCAAATAACTGTGGAAAAGCAAGTTTTGCACACTACGCCAAATGAAATACAAGTTTAATATAAATTCCGCGACTCTTTCTGCATCGGTAGTTTTACAAATCAAATGGTTGGCGGCGTCCCGCATCGCCTGGAAATAAATTCAGATATGAGATTACAAAAGGTTGAAATTCGTTTTTCCAGTGAGGCACATAAATTCCTAACCGACGAATTGAAAAAAGTTTGAAATATTTATTCGGGCGTCTCACAAAATGTTAGGAACTTGTTGATTATTTTCCTAAAGCCGCTTGTTACTGTTTGAATCATATAGCCAAAGCTAAAGCTACTAAATAGATACCTTGTCTATGCTGACAATACAGGAATATTTGCGGGGCCATTTCAAATGCCGTTTTTAACCAATAAGAATTATCGGCGTCCAACAACCACCATGGCCTTTGACAGTTCGTTAATTCGACAGGCATCAGTTTTTTCACAAAATATGTCCAGATCTTGTTAAATGTTATCGGAAATTGACTCAAGTGATACGAAAATATCATAGCTGCCCTAGGCGTACGAATTTTACCTTTCTAGGGCCACTACATTATCTAATAGCTATATGGTTGCCATTAATGTGGCCTCCTCTTTCTTGACTTAAAATGTCCTCCTCATTTTCTACAGCAAATTGTTGTCAACAAAACCAAAATTTTAAAACATTGTTCATTTTAGATAATAAGGAAACAAATATTTGAAATGATTTCATTTTGAGCGAATTAGAAGTAAGATCCTTTCCGGACACCCTGCGTGTCAAGCGCAGGGGACTGGAGGACTCCCTGGCGAGTTGTACAATCCAAGTTTATTAAAATCTACGGCGTCGGATGCTACGACCTGTACATGTGAAAACGTTTATTTTATCAAATACATAAAAATACAAAGCATACATTTTCATCCTCTAATAAACGTTAAAGGAAATCACTGAAGCGCTTGTGCGTGATAAAAGTGAAAATGTTTGAGTTTTAGTTGTCTGTAATCGGGAGGTATTGTCAAAGTTGGATTAGTTGGTTATAGGTTAAGTTGTAGCCGAGTTTGTGTCATATTCAGAATAAGATTTTTATTTTCTTTATATTTTTGGTATTTAAGGTCAATTAAATTACTAAAAACTTGTCGGCCTCTTCATAAGACCCAACCTTTGAAAAAGCAGCATGTTATACAACCTGGGCGAATAGAACTTCAGACTTCTTTGACCATGTGTTTTGTTAGTGACTGTTGATATGCTAATGAATTCCTTCTTATTGAGCGCTTTGAAGCAAGGTGAATATTAATTCTTCATTTTCATACCTAAAAGTTTGCTATCCGAAAATAAAGTGTTTATTGGACAGCATCTTTATCATAAATAATTTTGATAAACCATTTTTTGTTTGCTAAATAATTTATATGCATCCCAGCGAAATAAAGTGTCAATTTTAATACCTAGATAAGTTATTGATGAGCTTCCTATTTTTGAAAGATTATGTTTGTAACTTGAGAAAGGCATATACTTTGTTTTTTCTATGTTTAAGTAAAATTGTTAAATACATTAATATCTTTTAAATATGCAATTGTGTGTTTAATTTCTCCCTCCTTCAAATTGTTTTCAAAAATTGCTGTTATTTTATGTTGTTGCCTTTGTATATTATATATTTGAAACTTTGAATATGTTTTTAAAATAAAATATTAAACTAAAATATGAATGAGAATACTGATTAGAGCACTGAGAAAGGTGAAAGTTCAACAAATTGCGTCCCTCCACCCTATCAGAATCGTTTCCAAATAGTGATAATTTTGTAACTCAATAGAATTTTATTTCTTTGTATTATTAAGGTAGTAAATAATGTTTGAAGTGGCAGAATAATTACCTACGTGTTGAAGATTATTGCTCTTAATAGATATTACAAATAGGTATTTTTGCTTTTGCTTTGCTTGGTTGATCTGAAAAGTACTTTACATTACTGCTACATTAAACGGATATACTCTGTATATCACTGAAGTACTTCCAAATTAGCATACAACAGAGAGAACGTCTGGCTGATGAGAAAATAAAATTATTTCGTTAATAATTCACTCTCTTAATTTTTTAACCCCATTAAGACGACCAATCTACATAAGTTTGTGTGAAACGAGTACTTAATGTATCTGAAAAAAATACTTTTTCTACAACCATTAGAATCAACCATCAGAATGACAAACGACACAATATCTTCAGTGTCCCAAATCTACCGAAAACATCCGATCGCTCTCAAACACATGGCCAAAGAACTAGAAACATGAGAAATGGCTCGCGGCTGTGATTAATTAAAGTATTAAAGTGACACTATGTGCACCTTTAAACAGTGAATAATTGAGTATTCTAGTGAATGAAATAGAAAAAAATATTTTCAATCAAAATTTATCGATATACTCAGCGCAGTGTAGCGGCGAGTTCAATTTTTCAAACTGTTTACTTCGTAGAGGATGTCCATGTTATAATTAACTACCAGGACAAATTTAATGGGAACGTGTCATTTTATAACCTCGGCAGGATAACTTATTGGTTGCTTCGTTGTGAATCCATTATTCAAATTTGCCGTCAGACCTCAACATTCCACCCTGCTTCGCAATCGAAATCCCGCATCTTGTCTTTGCCATCCACTCGAAAACTTATTCTTTATTTCCTACTACCGGAAGATAAAAAGGAAGGAAGCGGAGTCATCAAGTGGGCCTGGCGTGGCTGTTAAGAGCCGCCACGCTTTTCTTTTGTTCATCTGAGTTTTAAAAATTCGCAGACTGTGAGGCGTGTTCCCGACCAAGAGACAGCAGTTTCCTAATATTGCTATGGCAGATTGTGCCTTCCTTAAAAATGTTAAAATACGCCGAAAATTATAATTATTTTTGTGTTAGATATAATTGGAATGCAGCATTTGAACAGTAATAGATAGATAGATAGACGAAATGGTCGCCACGAAAATTACCAATTAGAACATTTAAATTCTCCCGTTAAAACTCAGCAGTAAAATAATAGATGTACTTTATTTTTATAAAATTTGTGAATAATATCTCCCATATTTTAAATTATAAGACCCTTAATAATAATACTGTCGTTCGAAGAATTACAATAATATTACACTCATAGTAGAAATTTTTCTGCGCCCAGTCCTCACGATTTTAAAGCAAATTCAGCACGAGATCGTGATAGCAATTTTGATTTATGGAGGAGAGCTAGATCGAAAGGGATAGGGACATAGTTGGGATTGTATTTCTTCGAACGACAATTTTCGTATTGTTCCGAAGGTAAAAAAATCGATCTATCTATTAATTATACTTCATAT